ACCTGTAATTAAAAATGTTGTCGCTAATAACCTTAGTCGTTGATGCGACAAAAATAAACAGAAAAAAAAAGTTCAGATACTTACGTTTGCATCTTGAAGAAGAAACCTGCTTCCAGGGCTCGCTGCATCCAAGCATCAAACCTAGCCTTGTGAGGCCAGTCCTTAAGGACGTTGAACACCAAGAGTAATGAGTTAATGACACACTCGGGCACCATGTGCGTTAGCGACTCTCCAGTCGCTGGGTCAACCCACCAGGGGTGCCGGCGATACTTCTGGAAACTGTCTCTTGTAATTAAAATCCCCAACGTTGATGACCGGGAAACTTCTTGCATGTAATTTCTCCATTTTAGATTCTTTACCTTCTTTAGCATAATTGGAAAAATACTTTCATTGGGGAAGTAAGGCCTATACATGGTTTCCGACAGTGACGTGGCAAGCACACTTACTCTGGAGTTCACCTCGACCAGTGTTTGCGGCTGCACGCCATCGGCGTCAACTGCCAGATAACTCATGAATTTCCCGCAAAACGTCGTGATAACTATGAGACCAAATAAGCTGAGCAGCAGTGAAACGCCATTGGCCACTGGCTGTTCTGGAGCAACTGCAAAGGAGCCCAGCAGAAAGTTCCGCAGCGTCTCGAGTGGAACCCCTTTGGTCGCAAGCAGATGCTGCAGGAGGGCGAAGGTAGCCAAGGAGGCGGCAAGCAACAGCCAGACGGGGCCTGCGAAGGTCATCGCAATGTTTTGCCTCCGGGGTGGAGTCTTCTTGACGACGACGCACATGGCGTCTTGGGCGTACGGGTACAGGAAGCTGCTCCCGCCGTCCGCCCGGCGTGGCTCCGTGAAGATGTGCGCCTGCCTCTTCGTGAAGTCCGCGTCGCTGCCTTCGTAACAATGCACTTGTCCGATGTGCTGCGCCACCATCCACAGGAGGCGCTTTTCAGGGTTGTTAGCGTCGCACGGCCACTCCAAAGAAATCCCTCTACCCCAAGGAATAAACGGCGCCGAGGGGCGCTTTGGGGGACTCCTGGGCAGCAACAATGCCTTCCCTTTCAGTGAGCGAGATTCTGAAAACAAAACTCGAAAAATTCAATACGATGGGAGTGAGTAAACATGATTTCAAAGTAATTGCTACAGTCTAAACAGATGCTCAACAGCTACAAAACGGGGTTCCTGCGTCGACTACGAAGGTCATCAGCCTCGTAATTGTGGTGAATGTTTATCAGCGAAGGTGGCGGTGTTCTTCTCTCACTAGATCGCGAGATCCAGAGCCGACCTACTTGTCAGGATTTTCCAACCACATGTTTCCCACCACTCCACCAATGAGAATCTCTACGCTCTTGACTTTTGACCGGACATGTGGTAGTGTAGGGCCTGTGAGTGCAACTGTAAGTAAGGGGTAAGAGTAGAACAAGGTCGTCCTTGCTCATTTGTGAGGGTACCGCTCTAATTGCCTGTTGGTGATCGGAGAAAGAACGGAAAACTGCGTATCAGAGCAGCCGATCGTTAGAATTCTCCTCCAGACAGCATACGTCTATCGTAGCCATGGAGCTGGTGACAAAACGCGATGAGCCGAGTCTCTGCGCTGGAGACTGACGTTTTGGCCAACACGTAGTGGCTTTACTAGGAGCGTACTGCATGTATGTTTCACATAGTTTTAGGTATACTTCGAAGTGAACGTGTATTCTACACTGTTCTCAAAGAAAACGTAGGTATAATTCACAAACTCAAACATATCAAATAAAAGTTCAATAATTGATAAACAATTCTTATGTATCACATTAGTATATTCATAATTAATTTTTATGGCAAAATTTGGATTAATGTTCCTATAATTAATTACAGTGGCCCGCAACCAATTATAAAGTATAATTATTAATAGTTATTAATAATAAATAACAAATTAATACACATTATAAAAACAAAATATGAATTGAAAATATAATATGTTTTAATAATGAAAAGAACATGATACGTAGAAGAAGAACTAAAAAATGCAAAGAAAGTAATGACTAAAATTATTAATGTTTGAGATGTCACTTCTGTCATCGGCCTTCGATATCTGTTACTTTTTGCGAAATTAATTAGCTATTAAATCGCTTTACTAGATGACGTATTTGTTATTTTGGTAACCGATTGTGGTGTACCAGTTGGTGTATTCCACCAGTTCATCATTGATTGCTCGAAAGTTTGAAGATATATATACACAGTGTGTATATATAATTTATAATGGTGGAACATGTGTTTTGTGGAACCCGATTGCTGTAGTGAAATATTCTCTATTCTCTTGGTATCTCCCTCCGAGGCGTAGCACCCCAACCGAGGCGAGAACAGTGTTCAACTCTCTTCCATGGACTACACTGCTTCGGGAGACCCCTTTGCATCTCAACACGTTCTCTGGAGCACTGGAGTCGCTCTGGAGCACGAACCTGGAGGGCGAAAGCCCACAGCCATCGTGTAGGTCTGCGCCAGCACTCGCGCTCCAGCGAGGACTCGAGTTGGGCCGTTAAAATTTTGACTCCCTCACACAAAATCACACTAATGACCAATCCAGACGACGGTCCGTGAAATATCAATCACTCCAAGTGTTCGTAACAAAACAGAGTAAATACTCGGGGCTGACCAGCCAATCCTCCCATTTTTCGGCGTTATATAAGACGTAAGTCACAGAAATATTACTCCCACAATAAAGGAGTTTCACGAATGTACACAAATATTGACAGAAATATCAACAACAATAACATTTTAATAGATAAATAGAACATGAATTGTCAGACTTACAATTGTGTAGAAATAGGTGGAGAGCATTTTAATAAGTCGTGTGACATACTGTGTAAGGAAAGTAAGAATTGTAAGCTACATAAAGCAGACTCGAGACGTACATTTTTATGTAGAATAATTTGTGACTTGTGTGATTTTAATGTGTCCACATGTAAGTTTTATGAACTGTTTTTATTTTTATTACTCTTCTTAAATCAGTCGAATTAGAGAATATACAAGGAGGGAAACAGTGACGTTGACCATGAGCTCCTAAAGAGCGAGTCCTGCCGCTGGAGGCGCATTCGAGCAGCCCTGCTGCTCTGATCAGAAGGTGTGAGTACTGCGATCAGTAGCAGGAAAATGTGAGAGAATTACTGAACAAATGAAGCCCGCGCGCAATTTCGCCCTCCTCGTCCCGCCTTCTTTTCTCACTTCCACTACACTGCACCCTTCCCGACGGCTGTGCTTTCCCGGCTCTTAGGCTCCCCGCTTTGAGAGAGCCCAAGTTGATTGATTGTGGGTGACTCTTCCTAACATGATCATCAGTTTCTTAAGAGTAGTGCATGCTCTTGCTCGGGAGGTGGGGGTTTACCCCAGCCGATAAAAGCTCTAAGCTCCTGACTGATCTCTCGGCATTTGTGGTAGTGTATTGCCTGTGAGTGTGAGTGTAAGCGTAAGCAATGGGCGAAGAAAGGATTAAGAAGGAAAGGCGGCCGGTGCAAACATAAACATAAGCATGGCGTTAACACAAATGATAGGACGTCCATAAGCGCACTCATGCACAATACTTTCGCATAAGTATAACACGTAAGAGGTTCACTTAAAAGCTTGCAAGCTTCAAGTTTCTGTGCTTATACTTAAGTAAGACATAAGAAATGAACCAATCACTGCATGTTAACTCAAAATCGAAAATCGAAATTGATGCGAGGTTGATAAACCAACTAACGCATATTGTCCATGGACACAGTAGATATCTTGAAATGGATTCTCGCATCCAACCAATAGTAAACCAGAATATCTCACAGCCAATAGAAACTATGATTTTGCTTACGTTTATGTTAGACATAGTGAATACCCACTTACGTTAATATTTATGTCAGTGCGCTATGCTTATGATTACGTTTGCATTGTGACTGAGCCTTTAGAGTATTGCCCAGGTATGCGCTTGGTGTTGTTGATCGATGAAACAATGAAAACTACCGATCAGAGCAGCCGGCCGCTAGAATTCTCCTCCAGACAGCGACTGCATTAGACGCAAGCTCACTTGCACATCGGCACCGGTTCTCTCTTTCCAGAGGTGTAGCAACACCTCTATCTCCAGCGATGCAACATTCACTACACTTACGGGACTAATCACCATCACTCATGACTCACTCAAACATCAAACAAACAATCATTAATGAATCTGAAACGTAATGTGTTACTAAAAAGTCGCAAGCCGATACGTACGATCAGAAGCGACAGGGATGCCATTACTTGGGCAGATCGAATTCCACAAGCAGCAGGCTGCGAAGGACAGCGTGAGAAAGGCCATACTTCTCGCCACTTTAGGGAACTGTGCTGCCACCCTTGAACAAACGAAGAACTCGCTCAGCGCATTTCTATTACTTTCTATTTCATGCAGGACCGAGAAAACAAGTAAAGACGCAAAAATTCGACATGGAGATTTGGAAATTAGTGAAATTCATAGTTTGAAAAACCTTGATACCGAAAAAGGTTTTTGTTATTTACAACAATAAACACGCACCTAGTTTCTTAGCAACCAATCATCTACACAAAAACTTCGCCTCGGCCGTTAAAATGTTCGAGAGCTCATTAAAAATAGCCTAGCGGACTTTTGGGTCTGTATTTTACCATTGCTCGTAAACATTTGGATAAATATGTCGTTACCACAAAACAGAATTCTAGACAGTAAATGTAAACAAAAATTATTTTTACAGTTCTTTTAGCACATATATATTGTTACTTTTCACTGTATATAATACCGTTTAAAGCAGTGGCATTTATCATCTTATTAGAAAGAAATTGATTCTGAAAATGTTTTTCCTTTTGTCTGCCTTGCCCCTTTTGTGCCATTTGGTTTCTTCCCCCCCCCCTTGTCCCATTTTGTTTCTTTAGTCCTCTTTTCCCATTTTGTTCATAATGTTCCATTTTGTCCATTTGTCCCCCATTTTTTTCATTTTGTCGACATTGTTCCTTTGTTCCTCTTGAGTCATTTGTCCTTCCTTGACCCATTTTGTTCACAATCTTCCGTTTTATCATTTGTCCCATTCTTTCCCTTTGTCTCCTTATTTATTCCCGTTCCCATTTTATTCCGTTCTCATTTTTGTCCTCTTGTTTAATTTTGTTGACATCTTCCTTTTTCCAGAACCATTTATCCCTTTGTCCCCATTGTTTAATTACTCCCTTTGTCTCCTTGTTCCATTGTGATCTCGCCACCATTGCCTATTTTTCCCCTTGTCTCATTTTGTTCAATTACCCCCTTGACACATTTGTCCCCTTGCCATCAGTGGTGCCTTTGCCCCCTTTGTTTCTTTATCCCATTTGTCCTTTTGTTTCTCTTGTACCATTTTGTTCCTTTGGCCCTCCTTTCCCCGCTTTTGTCCACTTGCCCCATTTTATCCCCTTTTGTCCTTTCCGGTCTCTCCGCGCCCCTCCGCACCCGTCCGCGTATTACTATTGTTATTTACAAGCGATATGAAGCTCAGTCTCTCAGCGGTATGAAGCTCAGTACCCACAACTCTTCGAACTTTCATGAAAGTGGTATTTATTTTGATTAAGTGAAAAACTAGAAATAAAAAAATGTATGTAACACTTTTTTCTATTAGCCGTTAAGGACTTGTAACGTAAATAACTATTTTTAACGTTCGTCTCTCTCTGTGCGACCGTCCTTATGGATGCCAAAAAGTGTTAAAGAGAATTCTGGGGAATGAAACATTTCAGGCATTAGAATAACATCACCGCACGTGCCCGCAAAAGGCAGTCACAACACACTTGGAACTGCACTTTCTCGTAAAATATTTCACTGCACTCTTTGTTTGACTAATTTGTTTAAATATTTGAACTTCTTAAATTAAAATGTTAATCTTTGTTAACGTTCAACGATTTTTTTATTTAATTTGAAACTTCATAAATCAAGTAATCTAAGTAATCCATCACTTGCTTAATTCATCTAAGTAAAGAAAGTGCGAGGCGATAGAAATTATAAATAAACAATTAAATATTTACAGAAAAATCGAGAGGCTAGACAGAAAAAGACTCTCTGCCATCGAATTCAGCGATTGATAGATTACTTGAAGGCAACCGCTGTGTTCAATTGCCCGTTTGTGAAGTGGTGTGAGCCCCTCGGAACAAGCGCTAGCCTCCCTACTCCTGGAAAGAGTGTGGTGTGGTGCATGGGAGTGTACGTGTGGTGAGGATGGCGCAAAGAAAAGGAAGTAAAGAGCATGTTTGTACGTGGCCCGTTGGTGGAGGTACTACTCCGGCATTCGCCCGCTGTCCCTGAACGAAACGATGCAAAACTACTGGTCAGAGCGGCCGGCAGCCAGAACTCTTTAGATTGCTTGCGGCTGGTAATGCAGCTAGTGTCGAAAATCTGCCACTGCCGGGGCTCGAACCCGGAACCTCCCGCAAAGAGTCCTTGCAGATACAGCGGAAATGCTGACTCGCAGGTGGTGCCCTCGTTTGTAGAGAGGCATTGAGCTTTGTTTTTAAAAAAGGTTTAAAGAAAATATAAAATATTTACCCAGGTGCTAGGAATCACAAGTGAAGATGCTGCTGCTAGGGATCCCAAAAAGTATCCCAATAATGTTTTAGGTGCTAGGGTGGTTCAAGCACGGGCTGACATACAGTCAGGCAGGCGGACGTTTTCAATTAAATCACTTTTTCGTTATCAGGCGGCTCCAAAATAAGTATTTTTGTAAGTCTCGAAATCCATTTTCAGTAGCAAATAGATAAGTTTCTCTTTCCTCCATACATTATTACTTCGTATATACTCACGTATTGGGGAAAGTAAAACTATGCTGCTGAATAAATAGTATGGTGTCGCAAAATTTTAAACGTGAAAAATATTTGAACCTTGAATAGGATTTATTGAAAATTTCATTTGCAACACTTCTGACAAAAATTGTGATCTCTTCGCACAAAAAATAGCAGTGCTAAAACAGCGCATACTTTCTCGCCCTTAGAACCTACTATGTAAAAAATTTTACACCAATTTCTGTATGCATCAACTCATCTCAGTCAGAGTGTTGTGAATTTATGAAAGTTCTTGTAAAGCGTTTTTTATGGAACACTACTGCTTGTTACATGCAATTATTTTTCGCCATGTCTCCAAGATATTTTAAGTTTAATCTTAAATGTTTCATTTTCTTTTAAATGAAGACTTACAACGCAGCGAGCGTTTAATTTTGTTTCTAATGTACACAACAAACACTATATTTTCAAAAAATTGGTCATGACGTTACTGAAAGATCTACATTTTTTGACCACATTTCATTTAAAAAAATTTGCTTCAAAATTGTAGTGGTAGAAAGACGCCGAAATTTTTAAATATTAGCAAAATCACGCATTTTAATGTACATGAGAACTGCACCATTCTCTTAAGCGTCTTTAATGCTAAGTTCCCAATTTGATAAAAAACGTTGTGATGTTTTTGAGAAAAAGTTTTTTAAAGAAAATAAAAATGTTTCACACAAAATTTCACAAAAAATACTCCTGTTGTTGAAAAATTGAACATGCCCTTATTTACAGATCTGTTATAGATGAACACATTTCACTAAGAAAAAATGTCTCTTTGTAATTGTACTGATAGGAAGATTTGAATTATTCAATTTTTGAAAAATCAGGGTTTTCAACCAGCATGATACCCACACCATTCTATTTAATGTCTTTCAGACAATTCACCAAGAAAATTTATCACAAACGATAGAGTCATTGTTCAGAAATAAATGTTTAAACAAAAATTAAAAATTACCTATATTTTAAGCATAATAACACCAAAAATACTCAAATTTTGAAAATTGTAAATAGCCTTACTTCAAAATCTATCAATAAGAAACAGATTTCATGAAAGGAAAAAATCTTTGTCTCTAATATTTTAGTTGTGGGAAGAGGCTCTAAAAATAATTAATTTTTTCAATTTTTGAAAAATTTGAATTCTTAACTGACAAAATACCTGCATTGTTTTCTTCAATGTACTTCAGACTATCCATCAACAAAATTTTATCAAAATCGATGGCGCTATTTTTGGATAATTTTCAAAATTTCTCACGAGTTTAATGTAAAGCACCCTACAACTATCGATTTCAAAGTAAAGCAGCCGTGATATCTGTCAGATTGATTGGGAAACAATAATTGTGGATAATATCAGCTGAAACTGTGTAATAAGAGTTTTCTGCCGAAAATTGTCATTTTTTCGTGCAGCATTACATACGTTTGTCTTCTTAAGAAGTTCTTTCTTGCGAGAAGGTAACAGAAGACAAAATTTTGAACAACGTTTAGAGAATTGAGAATAGAGAAGTCTGTTTTCGAAATTAACTCTTTAAAAAAGGTCATGAACAAATCTCTGTAAAACGTAATTTTTGCATTATTTACGACGTAATATACGATTTAAAAAAAAACGCTTGAATTTTTTCTTTAAATTTTCATCACTTATGACATAAAACACGGTAAAAGTAATGGTGATAATCCCATTTCCGGGTATTATTCGGTTTTTCAAAATTAAAAAGAAATTAAAAGTACAAAAATGAAGATAGAGATTTTTGCATCAGACAAGGTCTGTTGTACAAAATAAACTCTATATAAAAGCTTATGAACATTTTTTTTGAAAAAAGAGTAGTTTATGTGTAATTTCGTTGTTTGACGCCGACTGCTTCACAACCAATCAGGATACAGTCATTATCATAGGAGGGAAGAATGACATTAATTTGGGCGGTGACTTTACACCTGAACAACATGTAAATAAATTACTGTGCCGCCTAAAATACCAACATTGTAGTCTCGACTCTGTCCTTCTAGTAAAACAGACCAACACTATGCAGCGAGATTAAGCACATAAAGCAACAATTAAAACTGCAACTGAGAGAAACAAATGTAACATTTAAAAAAATTAATATTCTCTCAGCCAAACAATTCACCCGGCATGGTCTACACGTAAACCTTGCTGGAAACAATGCAGCAGCTGTTAGCTACATGCTTGCACAACTCATCATCAACTCCAGTCCTACGCAGCCTCAGCCAAAAGTCCACCCCTTTCACCTTCCTAACGTTCTCCACCCCACCCTTATTTCAAATCCACCTACCTCGTCTTCTGGTCCTACTCCCGTTTCTCCTATATACCCCCTATCAATTCACTTACACCTAATGCCCCAAATTCCTCATAACCTGGTATTGCTGGGACACAATACAACATTCGACCGCGCACTCGAGGTAAAAAGAGTAAATATATATCAACTGCAGTCAGATGCAATAGAAAAACACCCGTGTAGGTACTTACAAAAGATAAGACATACTGCTCCATAATGTGCAACCCCT